CCTCCCTCTGAGGAGAGAGAAAGAGGGAGAGGAACTCTTCGCCCCCTTCATTCCTCACACTGGGTTATTACCCAACGACCCCACCAGCTGGGAGTGGATGAGCTCTCAAGAGTCCTTCCAACCCCTCCCTGAATTTTACAAATAACAAAATGAAGGCCCAGAGAGGGTAAGTGACTTGGCCAAGAGCACCCAGCCAGACCCAGGTTTTCCAGCCCCAATTCTTTCCATCTGTACCCTCTGGACATACCTTTAGCCTCCACCAGCTGTGGTTTCTGGGGCCTGACTCCCTCGGGTGTGAGGAAGAGGAGGAAGAAGAGAAGGAGAGGAGGTGGCATGGCGGCCAGACTCCCCGGGGCACCCAGCTTGGCCGCGCGGGGGATGCTGGGGCAGGCGGGGGCCTGGGGGGCGCTGAACCATGAGCATCTGTGGGGGCGGGCAGGCGGGTAGGCAGTCCCCCCAGGGAGGAAGGGGTGGTCACGCCTCCAGTCCCCTTCTCCATGCACCCCTCCAGACCCACAAAACTTGTCTTCTCCCTGCCACGCTTTTATTTTCATCCCGACACTTACCACCGTGTGAAATGACCTTGTTTGTGTGTCTGCTTGTTCACTTTCTGTTCCTCCCACTAGAATGTAAGCCTCTTGAGGCAGAGCCTCGGTCTTGTTCAACACCACATGCACCGTGCTCTGGGACAGTGCTTGGGGCATCGGGGGCGCCCAATAAATATTTGTTGAGTGGCTCCAATTTTAAGGGCTCCATCCTTCTCCCCCTCCCTCCTTCAACCCAAGGCTCCAAACCCATTTCTCTTCGCACACACACCCCCATTCATTCACTTGGGCCACATTTCTTGGGCCTTCTTCCCACTCTGTACGACCAGCCCATCCCATATCCTTTGAGATCTGGCCAACTTGACTTTGAATCCTCCACGTCCACCACTTGGCTAAACATCTTTCTCGGCTTTTGTTTCTTTCTCTGTAAACTGGGGATAATAATAGTGCTTTCAAAATCTTGTTTGTGAAGATTAAACAGGGCAGGGGCGCCTGGGTGGCTCAGTCGTTAAGCGTCTGCTTTCGGCTCGGGTCATGATCCCAGGGTCCTGGGATCAAGCCCCGCATCGGGCTCCCTGCTTCGCGGGAAGCCTGCTTCTCCCTCTCCCACTCCCCCTGCTCATGTTTCCTCTCTTGCTGTGTCTCTCTGTCAAATAAATAAATAAAATCTTTAAAAAATTAAAAAAAAATAGGGCGCCTGGGTGGCTCAGTTGGTTAAGCGACTGCCTTCGGCTCAGGTCATGATCCTGGAGTCCCGGGATCGAGTCCCGCATCGGGCTCCCTGCTTGGCAGGGAGTCTGTTTCTCCCTCTGACCCTCTTCCCTCTCGTGCTCTCTATCTCTCATTCTCTCTATCTCAAATAAATAAATAAAATCTTTAAAAAAATTAAAAAAAATAAATAAAAAGATTAAACAGGGCAGTATACGTATGGCACTTTTAGCCCAGGGCCCGGCATGTAGTAGGCCCTCAGTTAATGACAGACAGCATCAGCCAACGGCTGAGCGCAAGCCAGGTTGCCCCTGAAGTGCGTGCGCGGCAGTCCCGAGAAATGACTGGGGACCAATGCCCCTTTGTGTCCCACTTCTTCCCCAGGAAGCCCCTGCTTCAGTTATGGAAGGAACCCATTTAGAAATGGGGACATTGAGGCCCCCAAAGGGCAGGGTGTTGCCTGAGGTCACACAATGAGCTGGTGACTAATAAGCACTAGAACTCAGGGGTCCTGACTCTGAAATCTGTGCTTCTGCCCCTCCCCTCTCCACAGTCTCTCCCCTCCTTCCTCCTCCTCTGGCTCGCTCTCTCTCTCTCTCTCTCTCTCTCTCTCTCTCTGCATGTTTGGTGTATCTCTGTCTTTCCCTCTGTAGTCACTCAGGGAAAGGGTCCAGGGACCCAGGAGACCTGCTCTCTCAGTTGCCCGTTCCCAGGCCCGCGCTTGCTGGGCTGCAGCTTCCTGTTTGCTTTAGGCAAACCCCAAGGGACCCTCCAGCTGTCAGGGCCCCCACTTCCCTTTGGTCGGTTTGGGGTGGCTCGGAGGGGGAGCGTAGGACATTGGGGCATGCAGAGGGTGAGGTGGCAGGACCCCATTTGCCTTTCTTTCAACAAAATCCCTCCAATCCCCTTCATTAGCTTTCCATCGGTCTCACAGGCGGTTTCCTGACTAGCGCACATCAGTCCCCTGCTCAGAACGCTGTGGTGGCTTTTTCTCTACCTCAGATTTTTCTCTACCTTTTTCGCTGCCCTGCCCCTCCTCCAAACAAAGCCTTCACACTTGTGCTCTTCCTCCTGGATCCCTCCTCAGCTCTTCCGCACCCTTGGCTCCTTTTCATCCCTCAGGCCTCCATTCAAATGTTACTTCCTCAGAGAGGCCTTTCCTGACCCCTCCCCCCCCATATTTTGATTTCACACACCTGGTTTTTTTTTATTAAAAGTTTTTTTTTTTTTAGATTTTATTTATTTACCTGAGAGAGTGAGAGAGAGAGAGAGCACATGAGAGGGGGGAGGGCCAGAGGGAGAAGCAGACTCCCTGCTGAGCAGGGAGCCGGATACGGGACTCGATCCCGGGACTCTGGGATCACGACCTGAGCCGGAGGCAGTCGCTTAACCGACTGAGCCACCCAGGCGCCCCTACGCCCCTGTTTTATTTCCTTCCCAGCATTTGCCCAGTTCCCAGATATGCTTGTTTCTTTGTTAATCTCTCATCTACTTCCTGCCCCAGAATGTTCGCCGGCTCTTCCACAACAGGAATCTTTCCTATCTAGTTCCCCGGTATCTAGTAAGTGCTCCATAAATATTTGTTGTATCAAGTGTGAAAGTTCATAAAGGGAAACCAGGCCAGAAGGGGGAGCTCTCACGCTGAACCACTGCCTCAATTATAGGAAGCGGGGTCAATTACCCAACAGTAGACCCCTCCACAGGAAAGAGTCATCAGTTACAGGCCCCAACAGGAAAAGATGTACATTCCTACATTGCATCTCCTACAAGAAATCGACCACCCCTGCAACTCAGCCAATGAAAAACCATCATCACCCTGAACTCCTGCTTTTCTCCAATGGGCTTTCTTCCAAACAACCCCTCCCAACTTCCTCCTTCTCCCTAAAATAACATTCCTCTCCTTTGTTGGTTGGGCTAGCCTATAGTTTTTGCTGTAGCTTGCTTATCCTGAATTGCTATTCCCCAACCCAGTTATTGCTGGTAAAGTACCTTTTATTTTCAAGGTCCACAAAAGGAAGGAAATTCGGAAGAGCAAAAGAAAACTTTCTCTTCACTTCCCTCTCATGCACTCAGTCGCCAAGGCTAGTCCAGTTTTCATCCTAAATATTTCTAGAATCAACTTCCTCTTTTTTGACTCTTCCCTTCCCAACCAGAACCACTTCAACAGCCTCTTTTCTGGGCTGTCTTCTCTTTTGCTTTCTGCCTACACTTTACACAGAAAGAATTTCCTTGGTATTAGTCATGTGCTTCTCATGCTCAACAGCCTTCAAAGGCTCCCAGGGTCTCAGGATAAACTCCAGGCCTGGGAGTTGACTAGCGCCTTATAGTCATTATTTCACCTCCTTCTCAAGAAACTCTGCCTCGCACACAGAGAATCTTAGGGCAGTAAGCTACTGAGGGCAGTAAACTGCTGGGGATTTATAAGCAGGAGTTAACCTGGCCAGATTTTTTTTTAAGTTTATTTGTTTTAGTGATCTCTACACCCAAGGTGGGGCTGGAACTCAGGACCCCAAGATCAGGAGTCACATGCTCTTCCAACTGAGCCAGCCAGGTGCCCCACAAACTATCATACTCTGTTCCAGGGTGGCTATACCATTTATGTTTACCATCAGGAATATAAGAGAAATCCAGTTTTTCCCACACACTGACCGGCATTTGGTATTATCACTGCCATTCTGGTAGGTGTGCAGTGTGCAGTGGTATCTCCTTGTGGTTTTAATTTGCCTTTCCCTAATGGCTGATGATGGTGAACATCTTTTCGTGCACATATTTGCCATCTGTGACATCAGTGAGTTGTCTATTCCTGTCCTTTGCCCATTTTCAAATCGGATTGAACTATAAGATTTTAAGCTGACATATGATCTGTTTCGCAAACATCACTCTAGTTGCTTTGAGAATTAACTAAAGGAGCCAAAAGGGGCCACAAGGGAACAGTTAGGAGGTGTTGTAGAAGTTCAGGAGAGAGATGGTGTTGCTGCTGGAGAAAAAGAAAAAGGGACACTTTCTGGAATATTCAGTCCTTTGGAGGTAGAGCTTACAGGACTTAAAGGCTGCTGGAATGTACTTCACAGAGGGAGAAACGGGTTTGGGAGAAGAGGAATCCAGATTCTGGATTTAAGTTTGAGCTGCACGTCACCGTCCAAGGGAAGATGTCAGGTCGCCTGTTGGAAAGTTCACAGATAGAAACCTTGATTTAGGGCAGTGGCCCAGGGAAGAGAGGAGGGATTTGCGAGGCCCAGGGAGGGCGAGGGGGGATTAGCAGCAAACCCTGACTGGTTGAATATGAAGGTGGGGGTGGGGACGCAGAAGTTTCTGACTTCTCCACCGGACTACGCGGGACTCCTGCGCCCTGAAAAGTGACGCCGACCCAGCCCTGCCCCGAGGGACGTTTCCACCAGGGCGGAGGTGCAGGGAGGCCCGGCCACAATTCGCTGTAATATGAGCCAGGCCCCGGCGGGAGGGGGCCAGGGGACCACGGAGGAGCTAGTTGCGGGCCTCGGAAGAGACCGCGAGAGCTTCGCCCCTTTTAGGATGAGGCCGACAGGCGTCCCGGAGGAGGTGTAACTTGAGCAGACCTTCCAAGGTCACGCGGAAACGCCAGAAAGCCTTTGATGAAAGAACTTCAGGGTTTGAAGGACAAGCGCCCTTCTCGAACAGCGCTGCCCAGGAAAGAAGGCGGGGAGGGGCGGGGCGAGGGCCCGCGGCCGGGCTCGGACTCGGACTCGGAAATCTTCGGCCCAGGCTCGGCAATCAGTCCCCAACTTCGGCCGGGGCCTCGAGCCCGGGGCCGGTCCGGAAACAGCCGAGCGGATCCGGAAACAGCCGAGGGGACCCGGAAGGGGTGAGCGCCGTCACCAGGGAGTGCTGGAACCCGCCGTTTGCGCGGAGGCGATGGCGGCAGCTGCGCCGGCGGCCGCGGGCGAGGATGGCCGGCGACGGCGGCCGGGGGCCGGTACGTGAAGGCGCGTCCATGCACGCGAGGGGCAGCAGAAGCCGGAGGCGGGGCCGAGCTCGAAGCCGGCGGATGGGGGGGGTGGTGAGGGGGAGAAAGGGGCGGGGCCGTGCCGTCTGGAGAGAGGGGGCGGGGCCTGCGGCCACCGGAGGAGGGGGCGTGGTCCGGCGGTCGAGGGGTAGGGCCAGTGGCAGGTGAGAGGTGGTCCAGTGAGGGAAGGGGCGGGACCATTGGAAGGGAGGGTCTAATCTGGGAAAAGATGGGGGGGGGGAAGGCGGGGCTCTAGGCCGCACGTGGCATAGCGAGGTGAGAAGGAGGCGGGGCCAGGTGAGCGGGGCGGGGCCAGGTGAAGGTATGAGGATCGTGGCTGCAGTACTAGGTTGCAGGACTTGTAGATTTGATGGTCTCGGGTACAGGGGGCCCGGGAGTGATGGGAAAAGAGGTTGATCCCCGTCCCCCACAGCCCTGGACCCCCAGCCCCAGGAAGGGGCGAAGGGTGAGGCCGAGTCCGAGGAGCTCGGCCAGCTGCGGGCCGAGCTGGCAGGCGCCCTGGCAGAAATGGAGACCATGAAGGCCGTGGCGGAGGTGAGCGAGAGCACGAAGGCCGAGGCCGTGGCTGCAGTGCAGCGGCAGTGCCAAGAGGAGGTGGCTTCACTGCAGGCCATCCTGAAAGGTGAGGCAGAGACTCTTCCCAGACTCCCCGGCGGCCCCATAAGAGGGAAGTGCATGACAAGCAAGGGGTCAGGGGGCACAGATAGGCTGTGGGTTAGGTTAGCCACGCTCCTAGCTCAGGGCAGGCTTCAGGGTCCAGAGGAAGGGGTGCCCTTTTCTGATTTGCATAGAGGTGCTTCCCGTGCTGGAAGCAGCTCTGTGAGTTCCAGCTAAGTTTAGCTCCGAGCTTCTACCTGTTCCCTTGCCCGGTGTCATTTCTTGTCCCTCACTGATGACTGATCAACCCTGAAAGATGAGCAACTTTTCAGTTCCTGGAGCCAGCCTCATGTAAGCCTCAATCTCCGTGAGTCTAACCCTCTGGTTTCCTTCCTTACTGCCCCATACATGTTCAGATCTCCCTTCCATCCTCGGTCCTTGAGATGTACCGGCTCCCCACCCCCCAGATCCCCCAGCCTCTGCTCTTATTTCCCCCTTCTCCAGTCAGAGGCCAGAGTCTCTGAAGTAGCTTCCAGCCCCGTCCCAACCCTCTGCTTCCGTGGCCCCAGCTGGAGTGACAACTCCCCTGGCCCATGCCCCAGCCTTCTCGCAAGTCTGGCCCTGTAGCCTGGTCTTGACCTTGGCTTCCAGAGTGAACGTCCTAAAATTCCCATCTCACTGTGTCATTTCCTTTTCTAACAACCACTGCTGGCTCCAGACTTCTCTGGGGCCGAATTTCCCACATTTCAGGCATCCACATATCACCTGTGCACCATGGTTGTCTCCTTGTACAATTTACTCTGTTATCTACTTAGTACTTGTTATTTAAATAGACCCAATTTGGGGGGAGGGGGGCTCCCGGGTGGCTCAGTCAGTTAAGTGTCCGAGTCCTGATTTCGGCTCAGGTCATGATCTCAGGATCGTAAGATCGAGTCCCACATTGGGCATCACACTGGGTATGGAGCCTGCTTAAGATTCTCTCTCCCCCTCTCCCCCTCCCCCTTAAAAATAAATCAATAAAAAGAGCCATTTTTATTTTTTTTTTATTTTTTATTTTTATTTTTTTTAAAGATTTTATTTATTTTTCAACAGAGAGAGAGAGACAGCGAGAGAGGGAACACAAGCAGGGGGAGTGGGAGAGGGAGAAGCAGGCTTCCCCGCTGAGCAGGGAGCCCGATGTGGGGCTCGATCCCAGGACCCTGGGATCATGACCTGAGCCGAAGGCAGACGCTTAACGACTGAGCCACCCAGGCGCCCTAAAAAGAGCCATTTTTAAAAAACTCATGTACATTTATTTTAAAAGGAACTTCAGGGCGCTTGGCTGCCTCAGTTGGTAGAACATGCAACTCTTGATCTCAGGGTTGTGAGTTTGAGCCCCACATTGGGTGTAGAGACTACTTAAATAAATAAACTTTAAAAAAATAATAATAAAAGAAACTTCCTATCATGTAAGAGAAACTTAAGTGTGTCCTAAATAACAATAGGTTTCCTCCATCATCCAAAAGTCGAGTGTTCCTATGAAAATTTTCTAAACCAAAATAGCATGTAAAATGAAGGCACAATTACCATTAATTTATATGGAAAAATTTTTATTTAAAAAAAATTTTTTTAAGATTTTATATATTTGAGAGGGAGAGAGAATATGGGGGGGGTCAGAGGGAGAAGCAGACTCCCTGCTGAGCGGGGAGCCCGATGCAGGACTCGATCCCAGGACCCTGGGACCATGACCTGAGCCGAAGGCAGATGCTTAACTGACTCAGCCACCCAGGCGCCCCTCAATGTTTATTTTTATTTATTTATTTGAGAGAGAGAGCGGGGGGTGGGGGGAGGGCAGAAGGAGAATCTCAAGCAGACTCTGCGCCGAGCGCAGAGCCCCACACAGTGCTTGACCTCACGACCCTGAGAGCATGACCTGAGCTGAAACCAAAAGCCGGATGCTCAACCAACTGTACCACCCAGGCACCCCAGTAGTTAACATTTATTGAGCACTTACTTTGTGCCAGGCTCTGAGTTAAATTCTTTATGAGTATTTATTTAAGTTTTATTCATTTAAGTAATCTCTGTACCCAACATAGGACTCAAACTCACAACCCCGAGATCAAGAGTTGCATGTTTTTCTGACAGAGCCAGCCAGGCACCCCAATTTATGAGTATTTAATCTTCATAACAATCTCCGTGAGGTAGGAATTAGGATCTGTTTCCATTTTGCAGGGGAAGCTCTGAGGCCCAGAGAGGTTAGATAACTTGCCCAAGGTCATACAGCTAGAAAGCAGAAGATTGAACCCAGGCAGTCTGGAAAGAGAACCTTTAGTTCTAATGTTAGTACATGTTAAAATAAATAACTATGCAAATAAAAACTGGTGGGGCGCCTGGAAGTCTCAGTTGGTAGAGCATGTGACTCTTGATCTTGGGGTTGTGAGTTTGAGCCCCACGTTGTGTGTAGAGACTACTTAAAACCTTAAAAAAATCTTTAAGGGGCACCTGGGTCGCTCAGTCAGTTAAACATCTGACTCTTGACTTCAGCTAGGTCATGATCTCAGGATTGTGAGATTGAGCCCTGTGTCAAGCGCCTTGTCAGGCTCTGTGCTGGGCGTAGAGCCTGCTTATGATTCTCTCTCCCTCTCCACCACCCCTGACTTGCACATGCACACTCTCTCTCTCAAATACAAAAAAAAATCTTTAAGAAAAAAGTGGCCCTGTTCCACCTAGCATCCCCTCCACCTCCCACTGACCTGTAGGATAAATTCCAAACTCCTCGGGGTGCCATTCTCGGCCTCAGGAGGCATCCACTGCCACCGTGTGCCCCCTTTTCAGCATCTGTCCTCGGGCGCCTTCACTCTAGCCCTTGCAGCACATGCCCACCCTGCCCCGGATACACCGTCCGCTTTCCCACCTCTGAGTCTTTCCTCGTGCTGGTCCCGTGACTCCGTCTGTCCTTTGTCACCTCCCGGCGTCCTCTCACCACCAGGCGGGCAGAGCAAAGAGCTCCTTCCTCTGGGACCCACAAGCCCGGGAGTGGTCCTCTCGGGGCTGTTCTCCTGCCGCTTTGTAACTGTTTCCACAGCTGCCTTCCCCATCAGAATGTGGGCTTCTGGTGTCAGCGTTTGTGTTTGAGTCATTTCTCTATTTCCAGAGTCCAACTCGGACTCTGGTCCAGAGTAAAAATTTACTGTACTGTTGGAGGCTGCTTGTTCCTGGTACATATCAGTGGGAATAGAGATCATATCTTCAGCGTTTATTACGTACCGGCTGGAGGGCTGAACACCTTGCAGATGTCGTCTCGTTTGCCAGCAACCCAGTGGGGTCGTCGTTAGTGTCCCCACTTTGCAGCCCAGGGCCATCTCCCCACAGAGCCCGCTGTCTCCGTCGCTCTGGTCAGCTGCCTCACTGAGAGCGGCGACGGTAGCAAGCCCCCCTCCACGCACAGGTAGGGCCAGCGCCTGACCCTCCCTCTCCTCGGCCCTTCCTGTCTCTGCAGACTCCATCAGCAGCTACGAAGCCCAGATCACTTCCCTGAAGCAGGAACGGCTGCAGCAGCAACGGGACTTTGAGGAGAAGGAGCGGGAGCTGGGACGCTTGAAGCAGCTGCTGTCCCGGGCTCACCCCCTGGACTCCTTGGAGAAGCAGATGGAAAAGGTTGGGGTTTGGAAAGATGTTGAGGCAGCCAGGGTGGCCGTGGGGCAGAGGGAGTGTTGGCGTCCCATTCCCAGATCACTGGGAGCAGGGCGCCCGGTGATAATGCTAAAGTGTAGCTCATACTAGCTCTGTACTCGGCCAGGTCCTGGCTCTGCCACTTACTGGCAGGATGGCTGGATTTGTTTGCCTCCAAAACGAAGGAGATGATGCAGGGGGGAGGGAGCTAACCCTTGAGGACAGCACTCATGGACTAGGCACGGAGAACACTGCTTGACGGATTCTGGCTCTCCAGTCTTTCCCCATCAGACCCATTTCACAGATGAGTACGGTGAGGTTCCGAGAAGTTCAGGAAATCTCCCCAGGTTATTGCACAGAAAAAAGCAGAGTAGGGATCGAAACATCTAGGTAGCCTGGTTCTGAAATTCTTGTTCCTAATGTCTATAGCTTATCGCCCCCTTTATTATTGGTGTCCTTGACAGTGGTAGGGAGCTGATTTGCCAAACTCCATCTTTCAAAGCAAGTTCACATCATTACCTCATTGATCCTCACAGCAGCCCTGTGAGGTAGGGTAGATGCTTCCCGCATTTCATGCAGGAGGAAACTGAGGCACAGGAAGACGGCCTGGGTAGAAAGACAAAGATCAAAATAGGAGCCCAAGAAAGGAGGCTTGCAACCCACGGCTTCCCAGCAGAGGCTGATGCTTGCATTCCCAGCGATCCTAGGGAGCAGTCGCACGGGAGGGCGGGGTGGGAGGGGGTGAGGGAGAGGGCCCTGCCGAGCAGGAGCCCAGTGCAGCGAGCAGAAGGACAGCAAGCCTAGAGTCAGGCAGTTCAGTCCTGGCCCACCTCCTGCGTTCGGCCATCGGCCACCCAGGGCATGGGCATCCGCAGCGTGTGTCTTTCAGGGTTTCAGATGGAACCAGAGGTGTTTCGTTTCTTTTGTTTGGGCCATGCAGACTCATCCTGCGTGTTGCAACTGTTTCACATAGGGATTTGGAGGGTTAAACTGAGCTTGCTTGAGACAGGTTCAAGAGGTAGAAATGGCATGGATTGGAAGGGGATGGGTGACTGGCAGATTGCGGCCTGGACAGCTGGGTGGGTGACCTAACGCCCATAGGAGGGGAAACGGTCTTGTGAGTGGTTCGTATTTGGCCGTACTTGGGATAGAGGAGTCTGTGTGACACCCAGGTGGAGATGGCCAGAGGCGATTGACTGTGCGGGTTCAGCAGGATCCCAGACCTGAAAACAGACCAAAAAGAAATGGCCAGCAATGTGGGGGGGGATGGGGGTAAAGGACATATTAGTTAGGATGAGATTTAAAAACGCAAATCAACGGTAGCTTAAATAAGATAGAAGTTTATTTTTCTTAAAGTCCACACAGATAAGACATTCCAGGACTGACGTCAGCTCAGCAAGTCATTAGGGACCCGGATTCCTCTTATGGCACTGTTTGGCCATAGGCAGCTTATTGCCACATGGTCCAGGATGCTGCCAGAGTCCCAGCCATCATATCCACAGTCTAACCATCAGAGAGGAAGAGGAGTAAAGAAAAGCACACCCTCTCCCTTAAGGAGTTGTCCTGGAAGTTTGCATTAACATCTCATTAGCTGGGACTTAGTCGTGTGGCCATGCTTAGTTACAGGGAAGCTGAGAAATGTAGATGGTGTTGTAGAATTTAGGGCATGTGAGCATCTGTGATAAAAGAAGTAAAACTTCTTTTGGGGAAGGAAAGGGTGAGGAGCAAGTGGGCACCAGGCAGATTGTCGTGACTTCGGCCCCTTTGCATGCTGGGGGGCCTGGGCATGTCGTGTAAGTACTCAGAGCCTCTGTGTTCTTATCTTTAAAATGGGGATGGACAGCACTTCTTGGGAGGTTTGGAAGGACTGGCGTACTTAGAGGGGAGGCTCAGAACAGACCTGAGGGGTCCAGCTCTTGGGAGGGGGGGCTGCTGCTGCCTAACCCCCTTCCTCCAGGCCCATGAGGACTCGGAGAAGCTTCGGGAGATCGTGCTGCCCATGGAGCAGGAGATTGAGGAGCTGAAGGCGAAACTGCTCAGAGCAGAGGAGCTGATTCAAGAGATCCAGGTGAGGGGGCGGCCGGGGGGTGCTGCGCGAAGAGGGGGCGCTGCAGGACCCTGGCCCCCCAGCCTCTTCCCTGCCCCTTCCCCTAGAGACGGCCCCGGCACCCCCCTTCCTTGCATGGCTCCACGGAGTTGCTGCCCCTGTCCCGGGACCCGTGGCCCCCGCTGGAGCCCCCGGAGGAGCCAAGCGGAGACGGGGGCGCAGCGGCCGAAGCCTTCGCCCACAACTGTGACGACAGTGCCTCCATCTCCTCCTTCTCCCTCGGCGGCGGGGCCGGCAGCACTGCCCTGCCCCGCAGCCGCCAGGGCCTGAGCCCCGAGCAGGAAGAGACGGCCTCTCTGGTGTCCACGGGCACCCTGGTCCCCGAGGGCATCTACCTGCCCCCTCCTGGCTACCAGCTTGTCCCGGACACCCAGTGGGAGCAGCTGCAAGTGGAGGTGAGCAGAGTGGGTGAAGCAGCCTGCCTGGGGTGTGCGCACCGCCCCGCCCCCAGTGCTCACCGAGCACCTGCTGTGCGCACGCCCAGAGCTAGAGCCGGGGGTCAGGCAACAGAAGCAGGGCAGCCGGCCGGTTGGGAGCCACCACCCCCCCCCGCCCCCTACCCCACCGCGGAGGTGCAGGAGGCAGGCCTCCACTTGGAGGCCGAGACTGAGGCCAGCGTCTGTGGCAGGGGCAGCAGCTGCAGAAGGACCTGGAGAGCGTCAGCCGGGAGCGGGACGAGCTGCAGGAGGGTCTGAGACGGAGCAACGAGGACTGTGCCAAGCAGGTGGGGCCCCGCTGTGTCGCCACCAACCCCGGCAGGGCCCCTGGCTGGCTGCCTGCCTCCTGGCCCCGACCTCACCGACACCTCCTTCCACCCACAGATGCAAGTGCTCCTGGCCCAGGTCCAGAACTCAGAGCAGCTGCTGCGGACCCTGCAGGGGACCGTGAGCCAGGCCCAGGAGCGGGTTCAGCTGCAGATGGTGAGGGCTGGGGGCCGGGGCACGAGGGACAGGAGTGTGCCGGGAACTGGCTGAGAGGGGCGTGCGGATAGGTCAAGGCACCTGTCCTGCCCATCCCGCCCCGCCCCCCGCCCCGCCCCCCGCCACTCCAGCTGCGCCCTGGAGTCAGCGCCGGGTGCATAGAAGGTTTCCAGGGCTCCGGGCGCTGCAGTCGGAGCAGGGGTCCTGTGTTCCCACCATGCCTCAGCTCGGAGCCCCTGCCTTGCCTCCTTGAAATCCAGATGGTGGGACCTAGCTTGCAGAGTCGTGAGTGAGGCTTAAAAGCGAGGCTTGCAAAATCAGATGCTCCCCCCAAGCCTGGACAGGAAGCATAAATGATTCAGTCGGGCCAGGTGTAGACGGGAAAGAGCTGTGTGGCAAACTGGGAGGCCCCCTGGGCTCTGTGACGGGAGCCACGGGGGAATGTGAGCTCGATGCTGCCGCAGTTTCTGATTTGTCCAGAGAAGCCAGAAACCCGGGTACTTCTGTATGTTGCCCCGTTTTTATTTTATTTTTTTTCAAGTAGGAAATGATTTTTTTTCTTTAAATTTTTTATTGTTATGTTAATCACCGTACATGACATCATTAGTTTGTGATGTAGTGTTCCATGATTCATTGTTTGTGCATAACACCCAGTGCTCCACGCAGAACGTGCCCTCTTTAATACCCATCACCAGGCTAACCCATCCCCCCACCCCCCTCCCCTCTAGAACCCTCAGTTTGTTTTTCAGAGTCCATCGTCTCTCATGGTTCGTCTCCCCCTCTGACTTACTCCCCTTCATTCTTCCCTCCTGCTATCTTCTTCTTCTTTTTCTTTTTTCTTAGCATATGTTGCATTATTTGTTCCAGAAGTACAGATCTGTGACTCAACAGTCTTGCACAATTCACAGCGCTCACCATAGCACATACCCTCCCCAATGTCTATCACCCAGCCACCCCATCCCTCCCACCCCCAACCACTCCAGCAACCCTCAGTTTGTTTCCTGAGATTAAGAATTCCTCATATCAGTGAGGTCATGTGATACATGTCTTTCTCTGATTGACTTATTTCACTCAGCATAACACCCTCCAGTTCCATCCACGTCGTTGCAAATGGCAAGATCTCATTCCTTTTGATGGCTGCATAATATTCCATTGTGTATATATACCACATCTTCTTTATCCATTCATCTGTCGATGGACATCTTGGCTCTTTCCACAGTTTGGCTATTGTGGACATTGCTGCTATAAACATCGGGGTGCACGTACCCCTTCGGATCCCTACATTTGTATCTTTGGGGTAAATACCCAGTAGTGCAATTGCTGGATCATATGGTAGCTCTATTTTCAACTGTTTGAGGAACCTCCATACTGTTTTCCAGAGTGTTGCCCTGTTTCTAAAGTTGGTAACTAATTGCAGCTGTTAAACCCGTATGGACCCAATAAAACATTCGAGGTGGCCTGCCCCTTGTGACCTCCGAGCCATTGAGGAGAGTGTATAAGGAGCTTGGGGGTCAGGGGTGCCTGGCTGGCTCCTTGGTGGAGCATGCGACTCTTGATCTCGGTGTCATGAGTTCGAGCCCCATGTTGGGCATGGAGCCTACTTAAAAAAAAAAAAAAAAAAAGAGCTTGGGGGTCAAAGGCACTTAATAAAGGGTGCTTCTTTCTTTCTTAGCAGAGGAGGGTGTGGGCTTTCTGGCCGTCAGTGGTGTCAGGAGGAGGGTTCAGGCTTTGGCCTCACAGGCCACTGGCGACACCCTGTCCCCCCTCATCCCCTCCTACTAACCGTCCGTCCCCAGGCGGAGCTGGCCACGTCACATAAGGGCCTGAGCCACAAGGTGAAGCGGCTGACTGAGGAAAACCAGGGGCTCCGGGCCGAGCAGCCGCTGTCTTCAGCCCCCCAGGGTCTGGAGCAGGAGGGGGGCCACGAGGAGTCGCTGCCCAGCTCGGTGCCGGTAAGGGGAGTGTGGGTGGTGAGAACCTGGGGCCGCCCCACTGGCCCTTGCCCTGCACACACGGCAAAGGCATTGGGCCTGCGACCAGGGCCCTTGGGGGCAGACCTGGGCTGCTGTGTATTCGCTGCGTCACCTTGGCCCACCCCCTTGACTCCTCGTCTGAGAAATGGGAGCACGCCCCCTTCCCAACCATGGCGTGAAGAGAAAATGAGTTAGCAGAACGTGTAACATGAAGGGAGGCGTAACAGGGTTGGTTGGTTATTTTTAAGTGAGACCCACAAAATTGATCCTTGTCTTGGTTTATAAGAAGCTGTCCCCACTGATCTGTGCGCGGCCTTTGTCGACTGAGTTCATTAGGAGTGTGCAGAGCAGCCGGACCCTTTGCCCGCCCCGGAGCTGCGATGGCTGCCTCCTGACATGCCATCCTGTGCTCCATGCTTCTGCAGCTGCGGTCCTGCCCTTGGTCGCCCTGCCCTTGGTCGCCCTGCCCTTGGTCGCCC